AGTGAGTAAGGACCCTGATTAACATCATCTCCAAAGGGCATGGGCTGCCTTTCCTCCAATTTAGGAACAGTTGAAGGTTTGTTTAAAAAAAAAGAAAAAAACCTAAAATACGTTTAATTTCTATTTATTTATTTATTTATTTATTAAATTTATCTGCTGCCCATCTCGCTATCAAGTGAGTCTGGGGCAGCATTAAACATATCAGAAATACAGTTATTTTATCCCAGACCAAGGGATTTGAGTTGGTGCAGCTCGTTATAAAGTATGTGCCCTAATCACTAGATGTGGTACTCAGTCCTGCTATATGTGTAGGCAAGTATCTCTCTGCACACTTTTACTTGGTGGAACTCATTAGCACAAAACCACAGAATGGCCATATTCAATAAAGGGCATGTCAAGATATTAACGACTCCTTGGTCCATCATAGAAGATCATCCCAATTGTACAGTGGTTATTCCTTGCATGTTGTAGGAGATGCCCAGACTGAGCACGAGGGTGGGGTCAAACGCATCATCAGTTTGGAGTTGCAACACCCCTGTAAGAGACATAGGTCCAGCCCCCTTTAAGTCCGTTGACACTTATCTGGCGCCAATGTGTCTTGACTATGAGGAGATCAGATTCTTATGTATGGGTAGCATAGAATAAGATCAGAGTCCTTTTGAACTCCATCCTGGTTTCTTGCCCCTGACACATGCTACATATTAACTACATATTTACTCAATGGAACAACTTCCCAAAAGGTCATAATCTCATATATTTCCTACTCCGGGCTCCGATGCACCATTTCTTCCTCCGAAAGTTATTGAAAAGAAAGGGGAAGAGTAGGCACTCTTCATAATTAACATGCAGCAATGCCTGTCATGCAGGGAGAAAGCATAGTTATAATAACTCAGGAGTCAATAATTCATAAAGCCTAATGCATTATTAATCAATTATCGAGGCCCAAATTACATTTAATGAGATTAAGCTGATTGGAGTGCTAAGCTGTTTGAAACATATTGATTTAATCAATGTGCTTAATTAAACTGTGTACATTTTTTCCACACAATCATTAGTTCACAGCGCCCTGCAAAAACGGCCATTGCTCACTGCTCCACTTTCTCATTTCTCTGCGGGTGCGGTTAATTGGGAAGGGCCCAGCGAAGCAGCATTGACTGAAAAGAACAGGTCCTCCTTCCCCTTCCAAACATGGATCAAGCAACCCAGGCAACCGAAGAAATGGGCTTTGCTGGAAAGCTACCATAGTCTGTGCCAGCACCAAGCTGAGTTTGCCATTTCCATTAATATATCATGACATTTTCTAGGAGGGATATGATTTTCTTCAATTGAGTGGAGGTTAACCATGGACCACGTGTAAAACTGCAAATCCGTCAAGACCGTACTATTCATTTAAGTTAGCACAATTTTCTAACGACGGAGGAGGAGGAGGAGGAGGAGGAGGAATGTTAAGTTCCACCTAGGCTTGATTCACTGTCAGCCCTTTGAGGTACTCCAGTCAAGAAGCACAACAATGGAACACAACTTTAACAGAATCTTGCAAGTTTGAAAGTATTTCTCCCTTCGTTTCCTTTTGCTCTTCAGAAAACTTTGGAACCCCCATCTGAAACATCTCCTATGCCCTCCCTCCTTCTGTGGACTGAGATACCCTTTGCTTGTGATTCTGTAGTCTGTGGTTCTTCCTCCTGTCTCTCAAGGTCATCCCTACATACTATTACATGCACTGATTCTTAACTGAGAGTCTCCCTCGAACATATGAATAACATCCCTGTGGTTATACCCCTTTGGTACCACCAGTAGCGCTTACGAAAAGCAGATGAGTTACCTCACTGTTTTAAACTCAACAGGCTACACAGTAGCCATTCAATATTTTTTTTTTAAACACGATCATTAAGTCTTTGGCTCATAGGCAGTTTAATTTCTCCCATCAGTGCCGTTTCTATAAGATGCAGCCTGAGCACAATGCACAATAAAGCATTGCACTTTTCATAGCAGAATAGTTCCGTTTAGGATCTTTATTTCTGTTTGTAAGCAAAGAGCCCCTCACAGGCATTTGCTTGACTTCCAGGTCCCCAAATAGGTCATTGGGGAGGGAGGCATAAGATAATGGATATGGAGTTGAATGACCCACGTTGACTTTTTGGGGAAGCATCTGAGAGACCAAGCTCCATTAATTCTAAAATGGCTCTTCTTTTTTTCTAGAAACAGAAGGACACTTTAATAAGCAGGCTCAGGTAGCTTGTGAGAATTGATCCATATCTCTAGAATTAGAAAAGGGCTGTGGTACTGGGATGTATAAAATGCACGCCTCTTAATAGGTTTCTGTGTGAGAGTTGAATATTAGAATGGCTTGTTTCTCCTTTTGCCCCTATTCTGTTGGTGACAAGGAATAAGCAATTATTGCAGAAGCTAAGTAGAACAATAGGCAAATTCAAGCAGCTCAGAAATGGCTGCTTTAAGCCACTGGGACATCAATGGCAGGTCCAACCTGAGCCATCTAGCAATAGAGCCCAAGCAGTTTGCTCTGAATACCACTGCAGAAACCCCAGTTGATCTAATTCTTGCTGGACCCAAGGTGCTTTTCCAAAAGGCAACTGGACTTTGTTGTGTTTTTTCCTTGAAAACGTTTCAGTTCTCATCCAAGAAGCGTCCAAGAAGTGAAATGTTTTCAAAGGAACAAAAAAAAACAAAAAACCCGGAAAGTCCAGTTCCCTTTCAGAAAAACAATCATGACCTGCGTGATTGAAAATCTCCATACACACAAGTCTTCCTGAACTGCAATACCAGTTTCACAATGTCTTGAAAATGTACGCAGTATCGGTAAGCTGAAATAGGCAGGACTTCCTTCAACCAGGCACACTTTAGACCAGTGATGGCGAACCTTTTAGAGACCGAGTGCCCAAACTGCAACCCAAAACCTACTTAAGAAAAGTCCACATACAGAGGTAGGCAAGCAAGCAATTTATAAAAGCCGAACAATTAAATTCTTGCCCGACTTGGTTATCTATAAATATTGTGTATCCATGCAAAGAATTCTCTAAGGGAGCAAAATCAGGCTGAGTTCACATATCATGTTAAACCAGGGTGTTCAACGTGATTTACTGAATAAATCTTAATTAGCTAAAGTTGCACAGCACGCCAAAGTATGAATCGGGTTTAGAAGTCAAAATAGCTAAATTCATAGATTATGTGAAATCCAAATCATATTAAGCGCGATGAGTGAAACAAAACTTAACTCTAAAAGAAAATATGAATGGATGTAGTTCCAGAAAAAAAAGAATCACGTCATTCATTAAGAACTGAAAGGATTAAAGATTGTCCAATAATAATAATAATAACAGAATTGCTAGCAGCATCTCTACTTCTCGTTCATGGTCAAATACTATCTGGTGTCCACATGGTCAATTGTCAAGTAGCAAAGGCTAATTTGAAAACATTTCTTCTCCTACTTCTATCAACAAGACCTTTCCACTGTTGCATTTTTGCTAATCTGAGCTGCATTTATCATTTTGAAACATACAAAAGAAACCTTTCATAACAATTTCCTTGTTCTGCAAATTAAAGAACATCTATAAAGTCAAAGGAAATAAATCAAAGGTTCCAAAAGCTGTAATTCTTTGCGTTGCTTCAATGAAACAAAAATGTAGATAATTCTTTCTGAAGCTATTTGACGGTATCTTCTTTTTTTTTTTTAATATTTCATAAAAACCAATATTAAAATGTAGATAATTATTAAGCCTTTCTCCAATGCAAGTCTGAACATGACACGGTCTTTTTGTGCCATATTACCCAATAAAAACAAACAGTCTGCAACAAAACTATGCATACCTTATATTGAATTACATTTAATTAGATAGTAGCAGCTACTGAATGGACATCGTTCCTGAAACAACTGCCCTTCAAGCAGATGTTTCACACCAGGAGATGAACCAATGACTTATTCATAGTTAGTATTTAGCCATCGATGTTTAACTATGGCTGTTGAATAAACAAGTTAAACCATACACCCCAAAAGCTAGGTTCACACAGCATACCGAACAACAATCAATCTAGATAATGCCGGACAAATCTTATTGCATTAACAGAGGGATAGAATCAAGATCACCTGAAGTGTTAATACCACTTTACAAGGCCTTGGTAAGGCCACACTTGGAATACTGCATCCAGTTTTGGTCACCACGATGTAAAAAAGATGTTGATACTCTAGAAAGAGTACAGAGAAGAGCAACAAAGATGATCAGGGGACTGGAGGCTAAAACATACAAGGAACGTTTGCTGGGATTGCGTATGCCTAGTTTAATGAAGAGAAGGACGGGGGGGGGGACATGATAGCAGGGTTCCAGTATCTCAGGGGCTGCCCCAAAGAAGAGGGAGTCAAGCTATTGTCCAAAGTATCCGAAGGTAGGACAAGAAGCAATGGATGGAAACTAATCAAGGAGAGAAGCAACCTAGAACTAAGGAGAAACTTCCTGACAGTTAGAACAATTAACCAGTGGAACAAGCTGCCTCCAGAAGCGGTGAACACTCCAACACTGGGAGTTTTTAAGAAGAGACTGGGCAGCCATTTGTATGAAAGGGTATAGGGTTTCCTGCCTGAGCAGGGGGTTGGACTAGATGACCTCCAAGGTCCCTTCCAACTTTATTATTATTATTATTACTATTACTATTACTATTATTATTATTATTATCATTATCATTATCATTATCATTATCATTATCATTATCATTATCATTATCATTATCATTATCATTATCATTATCATTATCATTATCATTATCATTATTAAGTGTCTTATGGAACATGTGAATCAGATCCACACCTTTCTCTTTCCGCAAGCACAACTTCAGGGAGTCTCTCAAAACTGAGCTTTTCTCAACAGCAATGAAAATGGATGCGCTATGTTCAACCCAGCGCACAGTTTTACTGGATGCAGATATTCAGGTGTATGTTACTCAAGATCTAGAGAGGGTAGGATAAGAACCGAACGAAAGAAATGACTTACGGAACTGCTCCAGGTCCTCCCTGCTTTCCGATTCAGGCATGGCAGTGATGGTAAGCAGAGGGCACGCGTTTCCTGCTAGAGTGTGGCAAAGGGTCTGCCTCCTGAAGAAGACTTTCTTTGTACTCCTGGCTTGCTCCAAGATGTCAAGGTGAGACTGCAAACATGAAAATGTAATAATTTACAAAATGTCCTGTTGGAAGAAACCATCTAGTCCAACACCTTGTAGAATATACATATACAACTGGAAGCCCCACATCCATGGGCACGCTTCTCTCTGAGATCAATGACATAAACTACTGAAGGACAACCCCTCTCTCTCTCTCTAACTAAAAGAATACATTTGTCAATGTTAATGACATAAAAAATAATGGATGCTTTATATATTCTGTGAAGTTCTCTCTCTCTCTCTCTCTCTCTCTCTAACATCGTCAAAGAAATCACGTCTTATTAGCATTGATCATGCCAGCTAGTTTAGGTAAGGAAACATCTGCAAGAAAACAATCAAGCTCAGAGAACACCAAGGACAACAACAACAACAACAACAACAACAATAATAATAATAATAATAATAATAATAATAATAATAATAATGGCAAATTTGTCAATGCCAATGGTGTTCAAGTGGTGCTCCAGTTGTTTTGGGATTGCACCCAAGGCGCCTAATAGTACCAACAGTAATAGGCGCCTTGGGTGCAATCCCAAAACAACTGGAGCACCACTTGAACACCATCGGCATTGACAAATTTGCCACTAGTCAGTTGCAAAAGGCGGCCTTACTAGGAACTGCTTTCATCCTGCGACGATATCTGTAATACCATCAAACATCCACATCTGCTTATCCCAGGTCCTGGGTAAGGACTCGATAGGTAGACAAAAATGCCAAATCCAGTCTGAACATCTGGCTGACTGTGCGATGATCCATAATAATAATAATAATAATAATAAAGTTGGAAGGGACCTTGGAAGTCATCTAGTCCAACTCTCTGCTCAGGCAGGGAACCCTATACCATTTCAGACAAATGGCTGTCCAGTCTCTTCTCATCTCATCCCTAAGCTATAAATATTCTCCTCTTTTTTTTGGTAACATATACTCTCTATCTCTCATCACCCAATCTTCACAGGTTCTTCTGAAAAGAAGCAAAACCAATGACAGATACAATGCACCTTGTATCACGATGTGGGGATTGTAACCGTAGCCCTTTTGCTTACCTCTAGTGTTCTCTCCCTGCCCTAAAACCCAGGCTGAGAATCCCTTAAACTACCTATTCACCCTAGCTGCAGGAATGGAAAGATAAATGATTTTGTTATTAGTTCTGTTCCTTCGGGTCATCTTCTGGTTCTGCTTCTGACTTTCTCTCGGTGCATCTCTTGACCCTGACCAAATTGTGAAGCGGACTGGAGAGGAAATGTTTTTTTTGCATTTAGGAAATCTTTGGTTCAGTCCCTGCCATCTTCAATATGAAAAAAAAAAAACCAGGGAAAAAACGAATCTGCCTGAAACACTTGGTATTACCAGGCATAGTCAAAAATGTTGGATTAGACCAGGGGTAGGCAACCTTGGCTCTTTTATGACTCGTGGACTTCAACTCCCAGAATTCCTGAGCCAGCATGGCTCAGCTTGGAAACCTCTCCCTTTCCCCTCAGCGTGGCTGGCTGAGGAATTCTGGGAGTTGAAGTCCACGAGTCATAAAAGAGCCAAGTTGCCTACCCCTGGATTAAACCAAGCCAAAAGTCTATCTCAATATAAAACAACGTCTTCTGCATTGTTGTGTTTTGAATGAAAAGATGGAGCTTTCGGTCCACTGTTCTTGCACGGGCGAGCATAGAACATATCAGCAGCTAGTTGAAATTATCATCCTGAGGGGAAAAAAAAAACAGTTGGTTCTGACTCAAAGAATTGGTACGATTCAACACCAGTCTTTCATGTGGCTTCTTCTCAGTGTGCTGTAAATATGTCTGCAGTTATTAAATGCATATTAGATTGTGAAGAGTTTCCAAGTCAGTTTCCATATGGAGTTTTATTGCCTTTCCAAATGCCTAGCGCAGGTAATTGAGTTCCCGGGTTGCAAAACCACTTAGAATTCATTGCTGCTCTGAAGACAAAAAGGAGGAGGTGCTCCCATGACACCTATACACACACACACACACACACACACACACATTTTTACAAACAGAGGCTGAAAAAGAAAACCTAATGATGCACATGTGTGAAATTTGTTTTTCCTTTTAGGGTGGGTGGGAATCATGTAGTCTGTATAAATGAAATTGTTTTTTTTACTGGATTTTTTTTTTAAAAAAAACCCTTTGCAGTGGTAATAAAAATCTGTGAGTTATTTAAGTGACCCGGTCAAAGTTATCTCTACAGAGATATCCATTGAAATTATGATTCAGGCGATGTCAGGAAATGAATGTTTCTCTGTATCTCAGCGCAGCCGAAACTGAAACTTGTATTCATTGGAAGCATAATCTAAAATTAAGCTAAAGGTCCTCCTAACTTCAGAAGCATTTCTTTCCTTTTTTTAAAAAAAACAACGTAAAACAAAAACTCCTTTGTTGTTGCTTTTTGAAGCGGTGTTTACACAATAAGGCCCTCCTTACTCTTCTCTTGCTTTTCACTATTTCTCATCCACTGATATGCCCATAGAACCAAACCTTTCCGAATAAAATGGACATCCTCTCGTACACCCACCCTCAACTGACTTAATCTCTCTCTCTTCCCATGACATTATTGGAGTTTTTGTTAGATGGGCACTAATATTATCTGAATTAATGAGCTGTATTTCTCTAGGACTTCAGACTATGGACCACTCAATCCTTTTTGCACATTCTGGGACCCAATTTGCATACTGAATACACTGGTTCCACAGTGACCAACCTCTGCAACTGCCCATCCGGCTGCAAATGCACTCTAAATATGTTATCTGACCCTGGAAACAATCACACATCCCAAAAAGAAGACACCCCCCTCCCCAATTTTGCATGAGCCTCCCAATCTTGCAAGCAGGGATAGAAATATTACAATATTACAATTCAGCTATTTGTCAACAAAAGATGGCAGCACGCAGCTGATCCTGGCTAATCTCAATAAGGCAAGAAAAAGAGTAGCTGACTTTTTATTAAATGGGAGATTGCTAGATAATCTTGCAGGTTAAACTTGGAAAGCAAAAGACAGACGCGGTCTATAGCAAGCCACTTAAACATGGTTGCCCACGAAACTATATAGAAGTACTCGTGAAATTACCAACAATTGAGCTCAGCTTGAGAGAGGCTTAACCTCCCATTGACAGGCTAGTTAGAACCCAGCTACTATGCAGCCCATAGCTAGGTTGGCATGACACATTAAGACAAATAGCCATGTGCTTGTTAACCATCGTTTTTGGCCAACCGTGCATTGAGCCCTTCCCTTCAAACTCTAGAGAAGCAGCCTTACCATCATGGTAGAGTAGGTGTATGGGTAATGGTAGGCCAAGTAGCAAACATCTTCCTGGTGAGGGAAAACAAGGCTGAAGGTGAGAGTATAGCATGACTTCCCAAGAGGACCTCCTGTCACTGCTGGGACACAGTTCCGGTAGTGGTTTCTAAATGGAAAAGAAAGAAAAAACACACTGGCTTTCATGCCTGCCTTCAAAATCAGGAAAGCAAGATTTTTAAAAGAGGGTAGAGTGTACAAGCTTTGGAGGAAAGCATAGGGTAAGTTCTGTGGAGATTCTCAGTCAACCAGATCATGGTTGTCCCAAAAGTGCTTTCCAAAAGGCAACTGGACATTCTTTCTTTCTTTGTTTTTCCTTGAAAGACATTTCACTTCTCATCCAAGAAGCTTCTTCATTCCGAACTGAAGAGGCTTCTTGGATGAGAAGAGAAATGTCTTCAAGGGAAACAAAAAAAAAACCAAGACAAGTCCAGTTGCCTTTTGAAAAGCATTGGGGACATTGGGAAAAAATTGTTCTTGTTATTTTTCCAGTAAGGGGACAAGGTGATAAAATTACTTCTGGAGGTGCAGAAAGGTGAGGATCTCCACATGCTTATCCATTGTAGGCTACATGGTATATAGTGGGATTGGTGAGAAGGGAATTATCCCTCGTGCTCTCTACTCATTGAGTCAAATTCTACCTTCAAGGCTTCCTCATTCTAGATTGCAAGGAGAGAAGCAACCTAGAACTAAGGAGAAACTTCCTGACATTTAGAACAATTAATCTGTGGCACAACCTGCCTCCAGAAGCGGTGAATGCTCCAACACTGGAGGTTTTTAAGAAGAGACTGGACGGCCATTTGTCCGAAATGGTATAGGGTTTCCTGCCTGAGCAGGGGGTTGGACTAGATGACCTCCAAGGTCTCTTCCAACTTTACTATTATTATTATTATTATTATTAGATGGAGGCAGATTTGTGCAAAGAAAAGCCAAGGAGTTTAGCCGCTATTGAGGCCCGTGTCCAAAGCATGCAGAGAAATTCAGCTCATGGGGTCCCTGGAATTTGGTTTCTCTCTTCCACACTGTGTCCCTTAATGTGTTGGGCATATTCTAAGCCACAAATTGGAGGGGTTCTCCTCAGGAAAAAAACTTCAGTGTATCCTTTCCTAAATCCATCCTTTAGATTTGTGCCTTATAGGAGGTCAATAAGGTTGGGGGGTGGTTCTGATCCTTTTTTAAATATTGATATGACATGTGTGGGAACAGTAGCATTCTAGTGGCTACTATTCAGTGTCTCTACAACCGCCCTGGGGCATTCTGTTAGCTATAAATATTCTGGAAAGCCCTACTGACATCAGCCACAACAACAAATTCTTCAGGTCTTTAGGCTGATAAGCCTTTAACATTTGGGTGGGGTTTTTTTTGGTTCTATAACATTCTATAACATTCTGGATGGACTGAATATCTAAAGCAGGGGTAGGCAACCTTGGCTCTTTTATGACTCGTGGACTTCAACTCCCAGAATTCCTCAGCCAGCATGGGGGAACTATGGCCCCTTCATGACTGGTGGACTTCAACTCCCAGAATTCCTCAGCCAGCATGGCTCAGCTTGGAAACCTCTCCCTTTCCCCTCAGCATGGCTGGCTCAGGAATTCTGGGAGTTGAAGTCCACGAGTCATAAAAGAGTCAAGGTTGCCTATCCCTGATCTAGAACAATATGGAGGGGAAAATATGGTGGCTATCATCTTTTCCACAATTTATTTTGGCAAAGCAGCTGGACACCACCTCACTGAGATTTTTTTTCTTCTTCCAGAATGTCTGGTTTTCCTTAGCCATGTATTCTTCAGAGCCACGGAAATTTACCTTGGCAAATAGCACTTCACTCCTTAATCACTGCTATCACTAATAAAGTTTCTGAAGGACAGGGTAGATTCTATAAGGAACTGAAGTTGATGAGCTGGGACACCTGACTCTCCCATCAGACAGAACTGTTTGTGACACAAGTGACAGATGGTCAAGAGTTTCAAGGCCAAGAAAAGAGTAGCTCAAGCAAAGGGTCTTGAAAAAGTGGCAGGTCCAGATTTGAAACAAGCAAAGGTATACGATAGGTTTCTTGTGAGCTGTTATACCCAGAACTCATTCATATGTAGGGCTTCCTAATTCTACGCAATAAAATTACTCATTACATTTCCTAATAAAGATTTGATTTGATAATTAACTTTGTGATAACTTTTTGAGACAGAAAGAGTTGGAAGAGATGGATTTTTTATCCCCGAGCCTGGTGGTAAATGACAGTTTCCTCCTGCAGTCAGAGTTGAAAAGAGCGATTAAAACATGTCAAATGTTTCAGTGAACAGAATACTGTAAATCAGAACACAAATTATCCCTGAGTATCTGGGCCTCTCTCACATTTCCTTTCTCAGTTGTGTTCTTTGCCCATTTTTCCACAGACAGAAAAGATAAAATGCACACCAGAATTCTCTTTCTACAACCAACTTTTTCTTTCCTCCTTTATTGGCACTTTTTTTTTAACAGACACAAATTTCAAGGCTGATGGTGAAAGATTTCCCATTAGGTGTGATGAAGAGCTAATTCACGCATTTCAAAGAGAGGATATCATAGCAAATTGCATTCCTGAGGACATTCTAGACAATAATTTCCCCCGCCTAGCACCAATTATCCCACTGCTGACATGTCCTGCTCCGAAGTGCCCTGTGGATTTTCTCCCTTCCATTTTTTGATTGATGCTATTCTCGTTGCTACATCAAAATGCCCCCCCCCAAAAAAATTAAATCAAATAATAATAATGCAAGAGATCCTGTTTGAATTGCCAAAATATACACATCATTGATTTTTAAGGTGGACGGTCTAGTTAGATTTTATTCAAGAAGTGGCAGTAAATTTCTAAATTATGTGGATGCATGGGAGCACATGCACACAAACACACACACACACTTCTATATACATATTGGTATGATCGATAGTCCTAGAGAAATGAAGGATTAGGGGGTGACATAAAAGCAGTGTTCCAATATTTGAGGATCTGTGACAAAGAAGAGGGAGTCAAGCTGTTCTCCAAAGCGCCTGAAGGTAGGACAAGAAGCAATGGATGGAAAGTAATCAAGGAGAGAAGCAACCTGTAACTAAGGAGAAATTTCAGTAAGTGAGAACAATTAACTAGTGGAACAACTTGCCTTAAGAAGTTGTGGTTGCTCCATCACTGGAGGCTTTTAAGAAAAGACTGGACAGTCACTTGAATGAAATGGTATAGGGTCTCCTGCTTGAGCAGGGGGTTGGGATAGAAGACCTCCAAGGTCCCTTCCAAGTCTATTATTCTATATTCACACTGTACTTCTTAAAGCTAGTCTCAAAATCAAAATGCAGAGGATGCCGATCACATTGATAAAATAATCCCCATATGGACAAAAGCCTCCTCCGTTGTCTAATACAGGTAGCAAGAAAGAAACAAGACACGTCTGAGAATAAACATATCAAGCAGATCTCTCTCTGTCTGCGTGTGCCTTCAGGTCAGACTACCTGGTGACTACCTGGACAAGTCCCTGCAGTTTTCTTGGTAAGGTTTTTAGAAGTGGCTTGCCATTGCCTCTTTCCTAGGGCTGAGAGAGAGTGACTGGCCCAAGGTCACCCAGCAGGCTTGGTGCCTAAAGCAGGAGTATAACTCACAGTCTTCTTTAATCACTATGCCAAACTCCAAACCAGTCTAGCAAATGTTGAAGAATTTCAATGCAGTGCTGCGCATTGGGCATATTTGAGGTTTTATACCTGTAAGTCGTCAGGAGTGAGTTGGGTGGCCCTATATATTTTTTAAATAAATCATACACAAACACATACACACCACCAGCCTGATTCAATGGTCATAAATTTCTGACCTCCGTTGAATTTACTTCTATTCTTGGCAACAAGTCAAGAATCTGAGAGCACTTTTGTTGACCAACAAATGTTATTATAAGGCATAAGCTTTCCTGAGCTGTCAATAACATTTGTTGTTGGAAAAGGTCTACCAAATTCTTGGTATTTTTCTTTCTCACAAACTGAGATGGCTCTTGTCCTGAAATGTCTTTCAAAACTTGGGAAACCTTTCCCTCTGAGGAAAATAAAAAATAAAAAGAAGATAAGCATGCAAAAAAACCGTGCAATTAACATGCAGATGCAGTACAGTGCCCAGGGCTACAGAGTCACTTTATAATTGTCAAATCCCAAAGTTAGATCTTTCTTCTTCAAGCCTTCCATCCTCCTCCCATCCCATCTGGCATTATCCTGTAATTAATAATCAACCTAATTATTATTGTTGCTATTATCATCACTTACTGTGGCAGAATGTTTTTTCATGTTCAAACTGCTTTACAGACATTATCCAGTGACTCCTCCCATCTCCCTTCCTTGGCTAAATTAGACAAACCAGAAGCACAGAGGCTGTGACTCTTTCAAGCAAGAACTCAGTTTAAAACAAGCCAGCACAACTCCTAGCTAGTCTTGGCTGATCTGGAAGAAGCTAAACCAATTTGATGGCTCAGCAGTTACAGATGCTGAGCTTGTCAGCTGCAAAGCTGACAGCCAGGTTCAAGATTCAAGCACCGCATGAACAGGTAAGCTCCTGTTACTCGTCCCAGCTCTTGACACCTAGTAGTTCAAAAGCATGCAAACGAGAGTAGATAAACAGGTACCACTTCGGTGGGAAGGTAAGAGCATTCCCTGGCCTTGGCATATAATCATGCTGGCCACATGACAACGAAAATGTCTTCAGACAAATGATCTAAATATTGTAATATTGCCCTTAGAATCTGTGTTGAGATCGCTGCATAATATTAATATTTTTACTGTGGGTCATAGTTTTTAGCGATTACAGTATGCCATTTTTTTTCTAAGTTTTGATCTTAGATGGCAATAATAAAGAAAAGTGAATTTAGACTGAGGATTAGGTTGATTTTTTTTAAAAAGAAATTGGAACAAGGCAAAGGCAATCCTAATTTTGCAATGTGGTCAGGTCAATTTGAGAAAAAAAAAACTTTGCTTTGAACTGGAATCAATGGCAGAGGTCAACTTTTCAGATGCCCACCTCCCTTTCCCCCCCCAAAAAAAAATTCACCATCCCTTTAGCCAAACCTCAAACCATCCATTTTCCCTCTACTCAAATGAAGTCACACCAGA